GTGCGCACACCGTTTGCACTATATTATTCGGGGCGCGGCCGCCGACTGTCGCCGACGACGAAAAGGACTTTACGGTTGTCCAGTCCGGAAAGGGTATATTAAAATTAGAACGACCCGCTACCAAGAAACACGGTTCCGCAACCCTAGCTTCCCGTCGCGGGGGCTCAGTTATTCGACACGTCCGTGCGCGCCGTGCGCATGTACCTACATAAATTATTCACAATTTCCACGTTTTCTCGGCCGCCGCTGACCACCGCACACGTGACTTGCGCGCGCGTGCAATACAACATATATAAATCAACCCCGAAAGCGTTTTAATTAAAAACCCCGTGCGACGTAGATGCCGACGGTGGCGGCTGAGTCGACCCCGCGGAATGCAGACGGGCGTACAATTTTTCCACGTACTTTACTGGAAGACGTACGTATCTGCGAACAGAAACTAAGGTAACTATGCCCTATAGTCGCAGACGCTAAATCGTATCGAAATCGGATAAAGGCCTGCACCTCGTGCCCTGCGTTTGAGCAGAAATAATAGAACGTATACTTACTTATAATAATTAGTATAATTGAGACGTTTGAAAATTGAAAAACTAAAAATACGGCTAAAACATTTGTATCTTAAATAAATATCATGTGTATCTACGTATGATATCACCGGTTGTTATAGATTTTTGATGAAAAATGTAAAGGAAGTACAGTGAAAATAATATTTCTAAGTGTTCTATTTGCCAGTTTGCTTGGGAAATGATTTTCCGTTGGTTTTCGATAAATGAAAACATTTTTCCGATAGCTATACATATTTTTGGAATTGTATAGGTACTTAGAAATTTTTTACAATCTAATCTTTGCCTTGAAAATTATATCCGTACTCGTAAAAACATGTTATGTAATACACCTTAGGGAAATCGCAGTAGCATACGTGTTTTTGTTCGATAGATTATATTCGAAAACGCTACGAAAAGGATGTATCACACGTATTATATTACACTTCACCTAATACGTATTATCATCACACCAAACTGTATCTCAGAGAAACTTGCAGCGCACACGTTTAATGATCTGAAGCTGACTTGACGTATTTTGTTCGAAATGTCATTTAATACCTCAAATGTATCCATCCTTTGAAAAATATCTCAATAGTCGAAGTACGGTAACATGTGGTTTCAACGTGTGTACTTTAATTATGTACCGATCTATTAATATAATAAGGACTGACGAATTACTACCAAAATGTCTACTTCATCCTTTATGCGGTAAAAATCTGAAAATATTTATTTTTCTACAACTATCCCAAAAAGATTAGTTGATATTCGCGGATACACACAAAATTGAACACGTAAATGTACAGTGGTTTTGCTTTTAAAATGTTTTTAATGTATAATATTGCCATTAAATATACATTGTTAGTACATATAACAAGCAGCCAGTAGGTTTAAATTAATGCGGTGGTACATAATTATGAGGGTCAATTATAATTTATTATATTTTTGAATCTGTTGGAATCATTTGAGTAAATTAACTATAATTACGTTAATTGTAAGTAGATAAATATTATAATTTCAGTTTCTTCACGGTGTTTCGAGATTACTAGGTGTAACGTGTAAATCATAATTTAAAATGAAATAAAAATACTTTTTTATTAATATATATATTATGAACAAACAACAATGATAATAATAATACTAGCGAATAAATAATAATAGCTAAGGAAAACAGTACATTATAATTTTTTTCTTCAAATAAAGGGCATTTAACGTAATAGTGTTATCTCGTATTTAATTGACAAGAAATGTTTAAGGTTTCAAGGATATAACACAAGGACACTTAAACATTTAAAATGTTTGAAATTATGAACGTGCTATATTTTAATATCTTAAGAAATATATGGTGTATATCGATATAAGTACACTTTTATAATATGTTTTGTGGACACAGAAAATGAAATAAGAATGTAATGCAATTAAATTCATGTTTATAGAAGTATATTTATAGTTAATGTGTGAATTGTAAAATTAGTTGATTCATTTGGATGGATATTTCAACGATATAATAGTTGAACCGTTTTTTAAAACAAACGCATTCTTTTAAAACTGTTGTGTTCCTCGTTTTAAATCTACCTCTAAGGGGAAAACTCCTTTGAATTACGAACGTAGGTTTTGTGCCACTTTTTTTTTTTAACTGGCTACACCCTTTAATAATTTGGCACGGATATTATGATCTCTCGAAAAGAATTTACCCCCATCCAACCCCTATAAACCTTTTACAGCAAAAATGTCTCACCCATAAGTTGTCTTTTCCTCGGCATACTTTTCAAACGACTCTTATAGAAAGATCCGATTTGTATAGTCAAAAAAAGGCTTAAAAAAACCTCAATCGATTTTCTTTAAAATGTATATAAACTATATTTTTTTATATAAATTGACATTGTGAAAGGTACTTGACTTATCGACTATATGTGTAAAACGTTTGTGCCTAAAGATGTTGATAGTTTAACGATATCGTATAAATCGATGGGGGCCTTATACTTTTAAATTTCCAAATATTTTTATACATTAATTTCTGAAATACTAAAACTAATAAACGTTCTAATAAAATTAATTTTTTTCAACATTTTTAATCGAATAATTATCGATGAAAATAATTATATAATAAATTATAATTTATATGTACATGTAAACATTTAAGAATTTTAAGATGAAATGTTTGGTAGAACCGTAAGAACGTTATATTTGATCAATTTCATGTTTTTCTATTTGTATATAGACTTACACGGTTTTTGAATAACTAATTTTTTATACTCATAGTACGAGTATAATACGAGTATAACGTCATCAACGTCTTCGAAATCATTTCCAATCGTCGCGTCGTCTTCTTACCGGCCACCAGGTATATGTAATAATAATTAATAATTATTATTACCCGTAGGTAGGCTACGTAATACTCGAGATAGTATACGAACGCCGAAAGACAGTTATTGAGATGATGAAGAAGAAAAAAAAGAGAGAGAAGTAAAAAAAGACGGAGAGGATTTAATTATAAAGAATTACATTTTGTTCATACGATTTTTTATTTTTTATTTTTTGTATCCACCGAAGTCCTGAAAAATTATTTAATAGTACAGCTCGGAGTCGGGCGGGTTGAACTGAAAATCAAACGATACGCCCACGAAATTTGTCTAAGTCACCTGACTGGATAGTCAAATGGAACGCCTACGGCAATTTGTCCCGATTGACGTGTTTCTTTCTTTTCCATTTTTTTTTTTATTCTTACATTATTTTTGTTTTTATTTCTTTCGAGTTACTTTATTTTTTTTCTTCGCGTGACTACGAGCCGGTGTTGACTACGGACGAAGACTACTCTGCCGACATCAGGTCGCCACGGTTAATAACAATAACAGGAACCGTACGGCGAAGGATAATGAATAATAATATTTCACGCGAAACTGCCAATTATTTTAAATTTTTCTCGTTCCTTTGGAAGATAGTTTTTTTTCGAGTTTACGTAAAGCATACACTACGTTTTATTCATCGACGGGAACTTATATAATGCAAAAAAATATAAACCATATTTGTTTTTCGTTGGCATACAAACAAAAAAATCTACCGGAAATCCTGTTTAGAAAATCAGTTATGTTGCATTTTAATTTGTCGTTTTATTTTTTACATTTAGCACCAGCGTGTGCTATATTATATATTAGTACTTTCGATAAATATATATATATATATATAAGTATAAATAAATGGAAATTAAGTTCGGAAAACTGTTTATAACTGTAGCAGTAATTTAGTGTACATGTATGTTTATGAAGATGTACGTATACATCTTGTACAGAATATACATTTATGCGCTTATTAAAGTAGGATGCGATAAAAATGTCAAAATAAATTATTGTCAAACTTTTTTCGTTTCATACATCCGCGTTAAAATAAAATACTATTAATTATTATACATACACCGAGTTCGTACAAATCGAATGATTGGTATTCAATGTATTAATAACATATGTTGCGTTACAGTATGTACCAACTCGTACACACATTTATAATCAACCGTATACAAGATGCGATAAGAACCGTACCGGAATTTATTCCATAGCTGAAAATCAAAAACACGAATACATTATGCACCAACAGTATGTTTTGCATTGTTTTTTTTATATTTCGTAACTCTTAAGAGTTTGTTCAACGATTTGATTAACGATGTTATTATCTCAATGTCATCATATGCATGTCTCTTGTGGTCAGTTTTATATTTGCCTAGAACAAATAAAAGCCATCGGTCTGGTAAGCAGGTGAGACGATTGTCGAAAGGTGAGCAGGAATTTGTTTATTTACCCGATCATTCAAATTTGGACAAACCTCGTGCCGACACGTATTTTGATCTCGAGTCAATAAATTTCGAGCACATTCTGTTTGAAAAGACTCAAAAGAAATGTTACTCGCGAGTTATCTTTCTATTGTACTATTGTTATTCGGTGATCGATATGATCGAATTCAATCAATTTTTTCATTTCCAAAAGTTGATGGAATAATTCATAGAGTTGGTCTTCCGAGTATAATACGAAATCGTAGGCATATACGCTGATTTTATTCAATATACAACAAAATGACAAAGAACATACGTATTAATAATAACCGATTTTGGCGTATTACACAGTGCGCTGTGAAAATATAATATCAATTCGTTTAAGTGTATGCGTTTTTTTTCGTCCAGTACATTAATTTTTTCGCGCATGGTACAAGTATCCATAATTAGTCTCGGTGTACTGTAGATCGCAAATCTTTAGAATATATAATACATTTCCAGGTCGTAAATGCGGGAGTAGACGAGTTCATGATTTGGCAGATGACCTGTCAATTATATTGTTCAGCGCACTATATAATATTATGCATGTTATTGGATATATTATAATTATACGTGTATAAATTTAATAAATAGTCAACAATATTATGGTTTTCATCCTAAAACATGTGAAATAAAAAGGATATTGTTTTTTCCAGGAGTGCGTAAAACGTGTTTATTCGATGAAAGACGTAAGTTGAACCGTAATAAAATATTATAATACGTACATATTATTATTACCACTTAGATAGAAATACTATTATAAACCGTACACACACACACACACACACATATATATATATATATATATGCGTGCACGCGCGCGCGTGTGTGTGTGTATAATGGCTGAAGCGTGTAGTGTACACTCGTAGACGATAAATCACTGCGGACGATTATCATAATTGCCGTTTTCGTTCGAGCCATTATTTTTAATTGAGCAAATCGTCCGCGTACACGCGCGCACGACCGCGTATATGTAAAATATGTTACGTACACGCGCGTTTGTACACAACGTCCGCGGTCGAAAACGCGTACGCAGGTACGGAATACGTGTACATTTGTATTGTGTGGACCGCGCACGTACTACGTGGTCGTGATGAATCGAGTGGAGAGATAGAGAGAGAAAGAGAAAACCGATTTTGAATATTAATACTCGACTATTTATCATAAAAACGTACGTTAATTTCCCCCTCCCCCGTAGGTAAACGTATCCCGTGCACCGTACACACGGGCCGCGATATCGTACAGGCGCCTACGCTCGCGACAATCGTACACTTGCCGTCGTCGGCCCTGGACGCGATAGTAGCGAACGCGCGAAACGGCCGAAGCCAGGGTCGGCGTTACCTTTCGCGAGGCCCTGTGCAGGTCCTAGGTAAACCTAGGAGCCCGGTCCTAACTTATTTTACCCGCAACAATAGTCGCCTGTAGTCTGTAAGCCGCAATTAAAGGCGATCACATGTAATATATGCGATATCGGGTAATGACCGATTAAATTTAAAAAATGCGATAAAATAAATGTATCCCGGTTTCCATACTGCGCGGCGTGCCGTACGGGTCGTTGTTGGTGCTTCACATGATATATAAATTATAATATTGTTGTTTTGTTAGTTGGTTTTTTATTACACGCCAACGGATTTCTCTAGAAATCGCACTCGCTAGGCGATCCGCGCACATTTCACGTTTTATTTTATGAGATTTTCGTACAAAATATTTTTCAATGAAAATTTTAAGCACGAGGCCCTGGACAAATGTCCCGTTTTTCCTCCCCATAACGCCGGCCTTGGCCGAAGCACCCCGTGGTCGAGTACGAGAGCGCCTGTAAACCCGTTCGCACGCGATGAAACGCAACGTTTTTTCGTGTTCGCCGATTCCGTGGCGCGAGCGATCGTCATCGCCGAAAGAGGCGCGTACACACGAGAGCATATTTGTGCGCCGCACCGGGTGAAACGTTTGGATGAATTCCGTTTGATCGTGTGTACAGAATGTGCGACGCATGCCATGTTGTTCGAACGATATTCATCCATTCGCTGACCTATTCCAGACCGTTATTAGCGTTCGACGCACGACACGAAGTCGAAATTTTACACGACGACTCGAACGCGCGCGGTTTGTCTTTGAACACGACCAAAGTACCGACAGCGAGCGATTCGCGATGCGACCCATTCGGCGAACGATGGCGAACGGATCCGAATGATTACACGTTTACGCGATCGCATTGTGAGCATTCGTCACTTTACGCACGCTCGTTTCGCACCGCGTCGAGTGCATCGCAGTGGTGGACCTACCGTATTTCGGTGAGCGTAAAGGTACGCGTACGCAGTAGGTAAAAAAAAAAAAAGAGAAAAAAAAACGACCTATAAAAAAATTTACGTATATTGTGTTGTGTACTCGTAATATAAAGAATATAAAAAAATAGCGTCTGCGAGATAAACAATATTTAAAAAAAAAAAAACCTTCGCGCACCGCACACGATAATATTATATTATAAAAACGACGGAGACGACGACGACGACGAGGACAACAACAACGAGGACGATACGCATGCACACTTCCCTTATTCTTTTTTCCTTTTTTTTTTTTTCCTCGCGGTGTATACGACCCCCCGCTGAGCTCTGTGGGGTTCTTCGGCGGCGGCAGCGGCGAAAAAGAACGTCGTGGTTTACATACATTCACACACACATATATATATATATATATATACTGTTTATACATACGCAGATAAGAGTCGGTGGCTGCGGCGGAGCGAGTTTCCTTCCGATACATTTCATTCCGTTTTTGCGCAGCCCCGGTCGAGATAAACGCGCGTCGCAAAAAACCGTTACCGACCGCCAACGCCGCCGCAGTCTTTTCCGCTAATAAGCCAATGCAATCAACGCGGGTCCCTCCACCGCCCGCGTGTCGTCCGACGTACCCGAACGTTTCGCGGGCAATGCCAGGGGGTGCCGAGTCGGTCGCGGCCTCTCCGGAGGTCGATCGATCCATGCACCGACTACGCGACGATTACGTTGTTGTTACGCGCGTACGTTAAGACCTGCACGCAATATCGATCCGTTCGCGCCGACCGTGTTGTCGTACACAATCTACCGCGCGCGATTTCGAGACGAGTCGCGGAACAATTGAACGATTACGTATTCCTTCCATCAATGTTGTTTCGCGCACACGATGTGACCGCCAAACGCGCGTGTTACAACGAAAAGCGACCGGAAAACCGCGTAAATAGATTGAACACGTGCATGCCGTCCGAGGGTGCACGGCCGGCGCGCAACAAATCGCGTGCAAAATCGGTTACGATAAAATGGTACGCAACGACTACTGTTACAGAATAATGTTATCAATCTTCGTCGTGTGTCATCACCACTGTCGTTCGCATAAATACAGTGCATTGGTTTGAAAAACTTAACATTATAATTAACAACTTAATCTTTTTTAAACCGCAGTATTCTGATCAGTGATTTAAGAAAGTATATAAACATAAACAAATCAATACGATTTTATGTAATTTTTATCAATCGTACGGATAGTGTAAGGCGATATTGTAATATTGTTAAAATGCATTAATACGTAGTATTATTTTCTTATAAACGTTTATCCGTCAACTAGGTGATTGATCGTAAATAATGATCATTCAACTGATTTTATTGCAACAATACCGTGATCATTGGTTGGATTGTTGGGTATTGTAAATAACATGGGAAGAAAGCCCTCACGTTGCTTGACTTAAATGTCTGACAAAAACTTGAAAAAAATAATTCAGCTATAGTTATTGTTATTGTTTTGTACAATACGTTATCGATTAAAAAGTTCAATTAGTATTAATTTTGTTTTTATCATCTACAAGGTGTTCTGTGTGTAATTAACAGTTATAGATTGCTATTTAGTGTTTAAAGAAAAATATTTATTACTGGACCTATGCAAAAAGTGTTACCCACTAATTCCGCAGACCTGACTCTGATAGAAACGCGTGTATCATGGGACCGGAATAATAATAATAATATTTTAGACATGTTTTCGGTTAACCCGAGCGGTATACAATGTTTATACGGTAATATAACGTTTGTGACGGCTCCGAATAAAATTCCAACTCGGACAGGTTGTTGCAGGGTTTACCACAATATTACAAGGGTGTGTAATAACAGTTTTTTTACCATTCGCTACCGTGTAAACGTGTTACGTACACACTCATAAATTATACGGTGTACACTACCCGATATAGTACGACGCGCGTACTATATTCTCAACGTTTATCGGAATTTCCTTCTCTTATTTCCGATACTTCTATTTACCGTACACGTATACGCGCGCATATACGAGGCGTATATAATATCGTGAGAGCTATTTTTTGCGGCTCACGGGAGAGGAACATATTACTACTACCACTACTACTACTACTATTATTATAATTTTATAACGCTAAGAGGATGCGCGTCGGCGTTACGCGGTGGTGGCGCGAACGGGGTGCGGGGCGCGTGTTTTGCATAAGCGCCGAGGGGACGTTCGGTGGCGCGCGCGACAGCCGCTGTGAACAAATTGAAAACCGCTTAGCGTTTTAATTTAAACAACGAGCGCGACACGACGGCCGTACGCGAAATGCCCACGGATTGTCCGCGCGCCCGTCCGTCGCTGTCCGACGGAGCGGGTGGTCGAGGAACGAGTGTGTGCATAGTGTCCGGTCGTTGGACCGGAAAAAGTATGGACACACGTATATCATATACTCGTATTATGATACACAATCGGCGTGATTGCCCGACCCCCGTACCCCTGTTGCGGCGTTGTCGACGTACATATTAATTTCGGTCGAGTGTTTTTTTAATTTTTCTTTTTTGCCATGCGATTTTTTTCATTATTTATTTTTAATCTATTATTATTTTCGCTGTTGTTGTTGTGTATCGCAATACGATCGTTGTACGCGAGCGACGACCAACAACCCTACGCGCGCGCTTGTGTTAAAATATATGATGCCTGTACGTACATGGTGCGCGCAACATCGTCTATGTGCGGTAAATTAATTTATGTTTTTTTTTATTATTTTTTTATACGTTTGGATGTGTCCATAAAATCGAGTACACGCCCTGCGTGTATGGACCCGAACAAAAAATACGCACTATTTTTGTTTTCGCGGTCTTTTTTCAATGCTCTTTGTTCGGTTCACTGATTATGCTGAGCCGATGATGATGATAATAATAATAATAATATATAATATATTAATCCGGTAGTATTGTTTTCGATTTTTTTTTTCCTTTTTTCTCCGATGGTTATGTATGTACGCGCGTATTGCCACTGGTGAAATTAGGATTCGATCAAAATCACGTTAATCACGACGAATCGTGGCAAACGTCACGTTTTTATCATATTATTTCGTCAACACATATACGTATACATTCCCTTTGTGCACTTATTAAAACGCACGGTTTACCGCATACGCTTGTCACCCATTAAGTTCCAGTTAGTGAATACTTCAAACTGTGATTTTTACAAAATCGTTCGATATCGTTTTAACAATAAGCTGAAAAACGTGTCTAAACACCCCACTAATGTGCACAAATAAATTTTTTTTATCTATCGTTCTATACAATTTTTCACAATTTTTTCTATATTATATTATACTTACAACTTTATAGTTTACCCCGTATAAGATAAATTATTATCTTACGCTTTTAATGTGACATTTATAATTCGTTATCTTTTTTTATGG